CTCCCACTGTGTATATGTTAACAATTACATGTAGGTCATTGCACCTGAAATACCAGTATCGAGCCGTACGCACGGAGCTCGTGTTAGGAATGGTTATGGGCTCGATGAACAGGGGTAATATTGACGTATATACGTGCATGTACATGCACTGCTTTGAGCACCAGTGCTGCTGGATATGTGTCCCACATGTAGTCTGTTACATATTCGTACATGTATTTCTCTAATACAAACATATGTATGGGCTTGTGTGCAATCTAGTGGTGTGGTACCAGACTCATGATCAGAGGCAACTGTTCAAGGGTTCGAATCCAGTTGTAGCTGTTGGTTTGTGTCCTTGGGCAAGTCACTTTACCCCAGTGTAATTTGGTATCCTGTATGTATATTTAGGGTACGTTGTTGGTTAGGTAAAAAGACTACGGAGTGTGGTTTTGTCAGTGGGGATTGACTCGTGATTAGAGGGTTAGGGGTTCAAATCTAGCTGCTGGCATTGGGTTGTGTCCCTGGGCAAACTATTCCACCCACACTGCCTCCACCCAGTTATCGAGAATGGAGCAAATTCTAGTTGGGCCTAAATGCTGAACTTTAACAGAGCAGTGTCGTGCCAATACCATTTGGAATGACGACAGCGCGTCATACCCTGTTGAACCTAAGGGCTTGCCGTGCCGAGTTAAGTTTGCCAAGTCAAATTGCACTAAATGCTGTGTTATTGCCGAACTTAAAAAAATGTAACGATTGGAGTTTGGCATGGCAATAGCACGGTGCGTAGCGTAGGCCTACGATTACCCAATGAGAATTTACAGGGTTAAAACGGACGGAACAACAAAATGAGTTTATCACAGTTGTGTGAGCAGGGTATAATGGGGAGAAAAATGTGAATCTTTAGCACAAAATCCAAAAGTATTGGTTCTACACCAATTCTTATTTATTCTACCAACACAAGTTCTCCAAGTTCATGCAGAGATTAAAATAAGACATTTTCCATAATTTTAAGGAAATGAACCCCAAAGCAGTAAATAAATATGTTTATGCCAGTAGCTTTCATAATATGAAACACGCTAAAAATTATTAAAGAGAGAAAGGTAACAGAGAAAGACGTACGTTGTTCATTTAACATGGATCAAATTATACATGAAGCATCTGACGCTGTGAAATTCCATGATCTCTTACACAGGTGACTTGTAAATTGGAATAATTCATCTTTAAATGGCCACATTCCCTCGTTACAGGTTTTGGTGCTTTCAGATTGGCAAAATACCGATAAAACTAATTTTATATTCATCACATTCCAAGTAGGAAGGTTTTGTAACCAATCAGAAATGAAATGAAAGAGACCTGAAACTGCCTTTATTTTTTTTTCCCAGGAAAAACATGGGGGTTTCCCACTGACCCTTCAACACAGTGCTGTAATAATCCCGTCGGCAAGTTCACAAGGCTTATATTTCACCATAAATAAATACAAGTTCATTACTGTAAGATCAATATGACATAAAATCAGAAACCCACATGAAAAAAAAACAAGAATTGCTTAAAAGTAGTCAAGGAAGTGCATGAAGTACGCTAAAACAAATAGGAACTGACAAGATAGAGCATGTACCGTATTTCCAGTGGGAATGGATTAAGAATACTGATGTAATGCGTAAAGCAAAAATATTTCCCTGCTCCATTTAAGCTTAACCCATAACTTTGGTGAACACCTTTGACCAATTCACAAAGCCACTGAACACAGGTTTGTGAATATTTGCTAAAAACCAAAACACAGGCTATCAGTTAAACAAAGTTTGCTCATCTAGTTTTGGTAGTCTTGTTGCAAGACGCTACTACATGTACATGTATTCATAATGTTAAACCCACTGCAAACAGTGTGATAGTACCATCATTCGGCACAAGCAGAAGCGCCTTGCTTAAAGACTAGAATCCAGTGGCTGTGGTGATGCCATCACGGGCAGAGGCCCCCACAAATGGCCGTTCAGGCATTGTGATGTCTGTTCATTGCACAGAGCCACTGTTCTGTGACAGCTGCTCGGGACAAAACCCAACACAGTACTTTCAGCCATAAATGGGGGCCACAGGAACAGTCCAGTGAAATGTTTCTGCATTTGTCTCTAGTCTGGAGCATACCTTTGCCGCAGCTTACAGTGGCATGATCTAAACACGCTAGAGACTACACCAAAGTGTTTTAAAATTTTGATAAGATTCAGTCCTGATTGGTCCAGATGTTGGTTTGGTGATGGCCGGATATTTTATTTGGAGGTAGTGAATTTAAAACTGTTTGATTTTGGACGATCGCAAAATTTAATATTTTAAACTTTTAATACAGTCCTTTTCTTCAGGACATATGGGGTCTAAATGGTAAAAAGATCCTGAAAACTAACAATTGAGTCTTTATTTAATTTGATATTTTGCCTAGAATTCGTGACATTAAAAGCAGACTTAAAAATTTAACACTGGACAATTCTCACTTCCCTCTGCCAAAGTAAAATAGACATTAAAAAAAAACTAAATCATGGTGTACTTTTCTGTTTTAGTAATTAGTGATTTAGTCCGGAAAACAGAGTTCGGTTTTCACTATCCAAAGTGAATCTCAATATCCATCAACACACAGACCTGCTCGGCTGCTATGGTTACCAATTAGTTGCCATGCCAACATTGTGCACATCCTGACATAGTTTTGTTGCAAACAAATGGTGCGTTACGCCTATTCACAGAAACCAAATACACCACGGCGCTCCTCATGAATAAATTATCTTTAAATTCAGTGTATATAATTTCTTTTCCTGCTTCCTTTTTGAGCACTTCCGAGCACAATGCACTGGCAAATGCATGTAGAATTGAGATTAAAGTGCAAGGCAATGATGTACATTTACATGTAGGAAATGACAAAGAGTACATCTGTACAAACACTTCGACAGTTTCAAGCAGAAGTGCTATACTCTTCATGCTGACTGGAGATATACATATACAATACTTCTATGAAATCCTGTGCTACATGATGTCATGGTGAAAAGTACACTGTAATTTTCAGGTATCATACGTGTACATGTTCACGAACACATTTGGGACCTACTTGTACATTTTTCATCTACTGAATAAACGCGGAATGATTTTCTTCTTAAAGTACCTGTATGTGTCAATGTTGTAGTCAAGACCACTTACGACCTT